ATTGTTATGGCTCAGTTCAATTTAATGAAACCAAAACACCATGTGTTATGTTGCTGTCTTTTCCGTCTACATCATCATCAGCTGTAGTGGCACCTGAAATCCAGAGGATGTTTTTACTTGGTGAAATCCCATGTGTAGAGTCTTGGTTTCTTTGACATGGCCTGCAGGGATCATACATACAGAGATCAAAGCGTAAATATCAAAAAGAGCGGCCACCTGTCAATGTGTACGCATGCAATTAAAACGCTCCCATCAAGACACTTTATAAATCATAGGGCTGAGCACTGCAGGTTCTGACAAGACATCAGATGTGTATGAAAACACTATCACAGGCAGCATGGGAAGATGACAGAAGGGGTCAGGGGTTAAATGATTATATCCTGATGATATTATCACTTTTTAGTTCTTGAAATAAAATGGTAGATTGGTGGCTCTCTGAATATATTTCACTAAAGATTTGATGTAATATTTGATCATTAATTAATGAATCAATTTTACTGCAAGAAAGATGCAGACCAATTTGCTGAGGAGTGGCAGACAGCCATTTACCATCACTTTGTCAAGACACATTATTTATACAAAAACAAAAGAGAACATGTAAATGAGCCAAACCAAAATCCTTGGTTTTTTTGATAAACCAACATCAAAATAAATTTGATGTGATCTCCCTTCTGTGCTGCTGGAGTACATGCCCTCAGGCCTGTACATTTCATTAGAACAACGAACACTGACAAATTCAAATGGCTTGAGATCAAATGTGCACAGGCAGGTTATCAAAGGAGCTCTTTTTATATGTGCTTTGTAGTTTTTATCTGTTGAATGTAGTTCATAACACACATTAAAGTCTCTTAAAGAGCTCAGAAGACCACAAGTATACTTAAGAAGAAAATAAGATTTAACATTAAAAGTTTTTTTTCCAGTGAGAAAGAAAAGAGTTTAAAAAGCTGATATTCATTATTATGATGTGATGGCAAAGATAACAGGCGTCAATAGTTTGGCATTTTCAAGCACTGAACAAAATCCAAAGCTGTCACAGAAAACTCAATAAATAAAACCAACAGGATCCACGGTTGTCAGCTTCTTGAGGATGGATTTTTTTTCGGGCCTTATCAGGGAGCTCAGGTACAGAAGTTAATAAGCGGAGTACAAAGGAGGCCTTTATTTTGGTGAAACCTCTATGTTCTCCGATATCAAAGGCAACACAAGCTACCACAACAAGATGCTGCACAAGGTGGTAAGATGTATACCATCTGACATGCAGAAGGATTTCTGGAGGGAACCTGGAGAATTAGAAATGTGAGATTCTGATATGGAAAGGTCACTCATTAAATATAGTTCAGGTCAGATGTCTCTATGGGCATTTCCCAGTCTAATATCAAGCTGATTTGGGGGTTACTTTTCAAGCAATTAAAATATTTAGTAACTTCATATAGCCTATAGTTAAAAAAATTTCCATAAAAACTTACTACTGTTCAAACTTATACACTACTACTTCCACACTACTGTTCAAAAGTGGGCAAGAAATATAAAAAAAAATAAATATTCAGCAAGGATGCATTAAAATGTGAGAGAAAAGACATTTATAATGTAAAAAAAAAAAATCAATTTAAAATAAATGCTGTTCCTTTTAGGAATAAATTACATTTTCAAATAATATTAAAACAGAAAACACTTATTCTAAATTATAATAATATATTGTATAAAACAGCCTTAGTGAGCATAAGAGACTTCTTTCAAAAACATAAAAAAATCTCACAAACCCCAATCTGTTGAACAGCAGTGTATATAATATGTGGTCAGCTCTACTTTGCATTTTTCTATATTTTAGATACTAAACCTGAAGGCTATAATAAAGAAATAAGTAAAGATTATTACCAAGCAATTTAAAATATATATATATATTATTTAGATGCGTTGTGTTTTCTTCCTTTGAACTGAACTGCTTTAATTTGGGGTTAAAATGTTATTTCTAAGAAGTGCTTGGAAAAACTTCCTGTCGTCTGATTTGAAGTTTGGCTTCTGAGACCAATCTGACCCCAGCCGTAATTATCTGGAGGGGAAATGGTTAGGCAGACAGGTATAGATGGAGTTCCCACCAACATACAGCGCTGTGGTCTCGGGTAATAGATAAGCGTTAAAATGACATCCTCTTGCTCCAAATAGAGATTTTAAATCAAAAGTCATTATTCTGGTTAAGTTTCAGTTAATCTTTTAATACCCTTCCCATATAGATCCAGTGGAGATAATACGATTGATTAAAGACGAGTGAGCAGCTGAAGAATGCATGTGCCAGCGTTTCCTTACACAGCAGGGCTCAGAATGACCCAGTGTTTTAGATGTTAATTATCCCACAGTAATGTATGCACACACCCCTCTGCCCTCTACCCCGCCATTCCCTGTCAAAAAAAAAAGTTAAAAAAAACATGGAAAATGATTAATTCAGGCTTTCTTTCATATAAAATATTTTATATTATATTCATTCACATTTATTTTAGCACTATAAAGTAGTACAAATTAGTGCAGAATTGCAGGTATTATTCCACCGTCGCCAGTTAACAATCTGCAATACTATTATTTTAGCATGACAGACAGAACAGACTTTGCTTGGAACAAAAAATAAATAAAAGTAGGACAGCTACATTCCTAAAATTAGATTCAAGGAATGAGTTACACCAGATTTTGCACAAAAATGCTGACAATTTGTGTAGAACCAACTAAATAAATAAAATATTATTTATCCCTGCACTGGTCCCAAGAGATTCCTTCATGGGATGCCATAAATAGTACATGTACAGATTTTGAGCAGTCTCAAAGAAAGAAACTCTTTTATTTGTCAAAAAGCAGCTAGACTTTGCAGACATCTACAGGAATGTTCTTCCTCACAGCCAATAATTCCAGAAACTCTATGGCTCTGACTTCACATGGCCCACTCTAACACGAAAAACAGTGACAGCTATTCAGCTTTATTCCAAGCTTGTTGCAGATGTGTACGAATCAGCAGATCAAAGTAGCTCTGTGTGCACATTATGGCTTTTCTGAGGTTTTGAAGAGCTGAAGCGCTGCTTAGTCTGACATTCCCCCTGTCACCATCAAACAAAAGCATCTCTCTCTCTTGAGAAAGGGATGTGAGCTCCAAGATGAGCTTCAGAGATGGTGACCAATCACAACAGTGTGCACAATCCGTTGCCTTGAGGCGAGAAACAGTAAGGTTTATGTTGTCACTTTCAAGACATCATATGTTTTTCTTCTTACGTTCTTGAGCGCTTGTCAAAAAAAGAAAAGAGTGAGCATTTTTGATTTGCTGTAGATGTAAAAGCACCGGTGATCATGGGAATGCATTCCTTACCCGCATTGGTCATGTATGTGCATTTCCATGTCTTCCAGCGTTTACAAGAAAAACAAGCAGAGAATTAAACATGTAGTGATGTCTTGCTGAGAAATCCCACTCTGTCAACAAGAAACAGTTACGCCATGTTCAAGAGCAGATATAGTGTTCCTCGCCGCTGTCTGCTGTGTGTGTGCACCTGAGAGCTGAATAATGTCTAAATTACAACTGGAACAAAAGATTCTTTTATGCAGGGAGCGCTGGGCAGAGATGACAGCTATAATATTGGCCTCGGTACATACAGGTAACATTCTAGGTAAGAGGAAATGGCCTTTTTAAGCTTGACATTGACATGCAGAACTGATAACATAGGGTTGTGGGATATATGGGGGAAACATTAGATGGCATTAATGTTGTGCTATGCGGTGTAGATAAGAAGAAGAACAGCAAACATCTTATTTTGTGAAAGTGTACACTCCAGTTGGTTGCTTTAGACCATTACTGACCTGAATAAAATCATATATAGTGTTTATAATGAATGAATCCATTGTATCGCTACTTTTTAGGGGAATTTCAATAAGTGGTATACTTTGTGTGATTTTTCTCTTGCTTATTTTAACATTTTTTAATTGAATTTTTATTTTTTTATCCAAATCAAGGGAAAAAACTGGGGGATGAATACAATGTTGACAGAGTCGAGACCGAATCCACATGCTCCCAAGTCCATGACAAGACCAAGACCAGGAAAATATGGTCCTGGACTCTGACTCAAAGATCAAGACTATAATAATATAAGCCAGATTTCAGGACCATATTTTTATGATCTTGGATTTGTCATGGATTTGGGAGAAAGTGTTCTCAGTCTTGAATTGGACTCGAATCTCTTCTGGTCTCGGTTATGACTTGGACTTGAATGAGCCGGTCTCGATCTCTCACTGCTCTTACAACAAAGAAACAATGTGAGGTAAAACATCAAATAAATATGAAATATTTTGCACTATTTCCAAATTAAATAAACTAATCTGTGACACTGATCATGTGAGTCTTTGTATGAGACCATTGCCATTTTTTGTCATTAAAGCAAAAACAACTCCCCCCCTCCCAAAAAACAAACAAAAAACACACTAAGGCAATCTGAAATTCATGCTAAATTTTCAATTCAACTTTTCACTTAAATTGTTTTGCTAATAATATAATTTGCGATTTAAAAGTTTGTATTAAACTAACGTATTAAACTAATGAAATGTGTAAGATTTAAACTAGAAGAATATAAGAAAACTACAGTAAAACAGCAATATTGTGAAATAGTATTACAATTTAAAATAACTGTTTTCTATTTTCATATATTTAAAAAAATGTAATTTATTCCTCTGATGCGAGGCTGAATTTTCAGCATCATTACTCCAGTCTTCAATGTCACATGATCCTTCAAAAATCATTCTAATAAGCTGATTTGCTGCTCAAGAAACATTTCATATTATTATCAGTGTTAAAAACATTTGTGCTGCTTATTATTTTTGTAGAAACTGTGATACATTTTTTCAGGATTCTTGGATGAATGCAAAGTTCAAGAGAACAGCATTTATATGAAACAGAATGTGCCCATGATGCGTCCTTGCTGAATAAAATTATTAAATTCTTTTTTTTTATTCATCTTAAAGACATGAGTTGGGAATAGAAATGCTTACAGAGAAGAAACTTCAAAGAGACAGAAGCTCCGGTGCTCTGTCACCAGCGAGTGCCTGCCTGTCAACCCATGCTGCATCTCTGCCAACTCCGAGCCCTTTCAGCTGCCCCCTGCTGCCATCATCATGGTGCTGTGGGGAAAAAAGAACACAAAAAAACTGATGACAAGCTCCTTTCATGACACTTATCATTGCATTCTATCTAAAATCTAGATGAGCCAGACAAAGCACCACCAGTCCCTATACCGCAAATCAGAGCGTAATCACTCTCAGCATAAGGAGTTAGGCTCATATCACACTACCCTTTGGTTACCTACATTCTTCAAAATGTTCTTTTGTGTTCCACAAATTAAAGAAATTCATACAGGTTTGTAGTGACATGAGGGTGAGTAAATTATCACAGTATTTTCATTTTTAGTAGACTATCCCTTTAATAAAATAAAAAATAATAATAACCTACATGCCTCTAAAGCCATTTTCCATATAGCAGCTGAATCTCTGAGCAAACGTTTTAAGCTGTAATGTGGTTATGATGAGCTGTATGCACTTACAACACAATAAAAGGCATTTGTATTTGGCTCAAAGCCAGCCTGTACTTTCCAAATGTAACTATGGCACTTTCCTGATTGAATCCACTAGGGCTGCTTTGGGAAACCCCCTCATCCAGGCCAAAGGTTGTTTTCTCAAAGTATACATTGCACTGCTGCAGCAGAGATGCCAGGTGTTAACTAAATGTTTTTAAATACTAGTTTCTACTGCACGTTTCCTGTGAATGACAAACATAAGTTTGCGCAAAGCGTAATGATAATGTGATTCAATTTTCAAATTGAAACAAAAGTGGTTTCAAATTGGAAATTCGAACATTTCCTGTTGGAACACTGAGTACAAGGTCAAACACATTTGCATGATGACTAGAAAAACTGTAGCGTATTTAAATCCCATGTTTTCTTTTTAAATCCATTTCTTGATTAATTTATCTCTTTCCATTTGTATTGCTTTTCAGGCCTGTTTTAAATTTCTGATTTAAATGTATTTTAATGTTTGTTTTTGGAGTGCATGAACTAAAAACTGTCAGGGTGATACAACTGTCATAACATAGTAATGCAGATAGAATGCTTCATTGGAACACTGAAGATCACAATGATTTCAAAGACTTTTGCATGATGACTGGAAAAACAGTAGCATATTAAAATCCCATATTTTCTCAGGACAAAATACATTTTTCGATTCATTCGTTTCATTTTTATACCTCTCATTGCTTTTCAGGCCTGATCCAAACCATCTCTCTCAGTATTTTTAGCCAAAATACAAATCACACACTATTTTTAACTGCCACCAGCTTTTTCCTGCGCTGACCTTTGAACTGTTAAGTTGTTCCTGGTTTTTAAAAGGGGTGTTAGTGGCGGTAGAAGAGTGCAACCTTCTTTTTGAGCTGAAGTACATCCTGACGGATTACAAGAACTCTAGAGCAGAAGTTGCTACCCAGCATGGCTTTAGGCTACCTGGGTCACGGCCCACCCACTACAGGGGGTTCTAGGTCAGAGGAGCCGGCAGGGAACACTGCTTTCAGACACCAGAGAGACTCCTCAGTTAACACACAACCTCAGGGCACGACAAACTCCACGTCGACCGCAACCTCTGTTCATGCCAAATGCTTTAACAATGCAGCTTGAAGCGATAAACATGGAAAGAGCTCCATATTTGTGAGCTCATCGCTCAAAGTGAACACAATTACACATTGTTGGTTTCAAAAGAGCTATTTATACAGTACGAAGGACTAATTGTGCAGAACATTGTGAAAGAGTTTATTTTTTATGCATTCAGAGGCAAATTATACAACAATTGACTCTCCAAATTAATAGAGCGTTTGTATGGCTCCCCAATGAAAGACATTATTCAAGAGAAAGAAAATGTCAAATAGTGTCTCAGCAGCACAATTGCTAGTCTCCAAAGCTATTGTTACCACGTTTTTGTTTTGACTGTCTGGGAATAGAGGAGTATATCGCATCTATTTACTCTCTGTTACAGAACTGGGCGGTGATCTCCACTACAGTGGCTTATAAAAACAGTTTTTGCCCACAGAACAGCTATTAAGGATTTGGGATCTGTGATAAGGACAATATTCAGCAAGACTTCCTGGCTGACATATGATAATGAACAATGGCTAAATAGGCCTCTGTTGCATGGATTCGGCCCTGAAGTATAAGTTCTTAGGAGGCTGTTGTGACCTAGAGCTTTCTAAAAGGCGTAAATATAAACCGTAAACCATTATTAAAACTGTAAGGTGCTGAAACAGAGCAATATCTGGTGTGATCACTGCTGCAGTAGTTTTGGTCTCCACACCCTGTCAGGTGCTTACCTTTGTGGTGATGCATGGGCAGTGGCCCTGCTCCGAAGACTGGCGTGTCCGTCACTGCCGCCTGGAAGCGTGTCCAGCTGTCCTGTCAGTCTGTCAGCAATGCTGCGTCTCATGGCCTGAGATTAAACGCTCCCGATGGGGCCTCCAGGGAGAAGTGGCTCACCCGCCTCTTAGGACTTATGTCAAAAATGTTTCAGCCCAGGTAATTTGCTACAGTCAGTGCTCCTTTCTCCGTTCACTTCAAAAGCTCCTGTGAAGGGAAAAAAGACAAATGAAAGAGGGGAAAATGGTGTTTAGTTGTGAGTAGCGAAAGATTGAATTCTTGAGGACCAGGATGGACTCATGAAGAGTGTCTTCCTCCAGGTACACCAAGCCAAATCTCAATGGTGTCCTTGCAACCAGTTCTACTTTTTGTCCTCTCAATAATTCAAACATACATGTATACGTACAATGCGAATGCAAATACACCCCGCCTAGGATGAATTTCTGAATTAAAATTAATTTTGATATTCTTTTTTTTGGGGGGGGGGGTTGCATAAAACAAAACAAAAAATATCCAGGTGATACACTGTAATAATATCACAATGACCCCATAATGAAGATAAAATGCTATAAAAAATATAATAATAATAATAATAATAATAAAACTCCTATTATTATTTACTAAACGTCATGTGGTCCAGTCAACATGCAGGGAAAAAACACAAACAAACATAAAATGATATCATAGTGAGGACCCCTCTCTTAAAATATCAGATAATTAATCTTTTTATGACAACATTTCATCTGGTAACGTTCCTTCAGCTTATAAAATGCCATGTGTTCTAACACCACACAAATATAAAGCTTTTTAACATTCACAGAATTCATCAGTATAGTTAATTATTTAATTAATGAAAAAATTATAATTTGTTCTATTTGTAAAAAAAATTTACCTTGAAAACTACATTTAAAGATAATAATGGTTATCTTTTATTTAAAATGTAAAATGCTAAATCATTTTTTATATAAATATTGATTAAAATGTGTACACAAAGTGTAAGGAATTTAAAACATTTCTTTATCATGGTCACTGACCCAAAAATCACTGGACAAATTACAACATTTTAATGTTTATCTTACTATAAGAACCCAGCAAACAGAAATATGTTAAAAAAAATATTTTGCTAATGTTTCCATAAAGTTATGACAACATTATTTCTGAATGTTCTCTGAATGTTCAAAAACGTCCAGTTTACACATTTCATTTGATCATTTATCAAACATAATGACAATTTTACTTTTGAATGTTCTCTAAACATTCTGAAACAAGTAGTAACATTTTAAAAATCTTAGACGAACATCTAACTAAAACGTTTCCGTTAAAGATAATAATGGTTATCTTTTATTTAAAATGTAAAATGCTAAATCATTTTTTATATAAATATTGATTAAAATGTGTACACAAAGTGTAAGGAATTTAAAACATTTCTTTATCATGGTCACTGACACAAAAATCACTGGACAAATCACAACATTTTAATGTTTATCTTACTATAAGAGCCCAGCAAACAGAAATATGTTCAAAAAATATTTTGCTAATGTTTCCATAAAGTTATGACAACATTATTTCTGAATGTTCTCTGAATGTTCAAAAACGTCCAGTTTACACATTTCATTTTATCATTTATCAAACATAATGACAATTTTACTTTTGAATGTTCTCTAAACATTCTGAAACAAGTAGTAACATTTTAAAAATCTTAGACGAACATCTAACTAAAACGTTTCCGAAAAAAACCATGAAAAATTTACTTTTGTGCTAAAGTTTTGAAAACATTATTAAAGACTAGATAACTTTGAACAAATGTTCTATTATCGTTTCTGGAAGAACATTTGTCCATAACTTTAGGAGAACCTTGCTAGAACGTTGGCTAAAATTCTGTGAATGTTCCATGTTAGCTGGGAGGGCAGCTCTTGTCTTCATTGTACAGCGCCACAATTTTTTTATGTTTTTGCAACCATTAGTATATCAATATTACTGTGTTTAAACCTCCTTTACTCAAACTATCCATCTGTAAATATTTTAAATAGACTGAGGGCAAGGATCATCATGGCTAAAAGACACATAAACATACAGTACATCCTCCCAGAATAACTGTGTTTTTTTTTTATCGAGTCACTTCTCTAACAACATGTTTTAAGCATAATGCCCTGTGGCTCTGACATAATCTAACAAAAGGATTTCTGAATCTATGGAATGAGGAAATGAAAAAGACCCCCATTAACCAGATCTGTCAACATTACAAGGAAGCTGGAATCATTAATGAAGACTCATTGACCTTACAGCTAAACATTAAGATTGAGCACATGCAGCATGGTAAGGTGACGTAAGGTTTGAGAATGAAATAATCTCTTTTTCCAAGTTAGAACAGTTGATTCTGACTACAATAACATTCACGGGACATCACGCAATGGATATTCATAACACAAAGACTTATACAGAGAAATTTTGCACAAAGTGGGATCCATATTCAATGAAACCACAACATTTGTGTGTGTGCGTGCCGGTGAGAGCGCCTTGCTTTGAAGGACGGGGCATGTACAAGTGTGTGCACATGTGATGAAAGTGTTTGACAGCAGCCCTGCCTCGACAAATTGCTTTTGAGATGTGCCAACACAAATGTATTTAACAATAAACCGTGGCAGGAGCAGTGACATCTCTGTGCTGGATTCTTGTCAATGTTTTCTTTAAGTCTCTCCCTCCCCGTTTTGTACCAGATCAGGAATGCATGAGTTGCATTCACTATTAACAAGACTTAGACTACACAGGTAACAGGATCAGCTCTAATCAATGTGACCTGAGAAAGCTTGTGCTGGGATTTCAGGCTTTTGTCCTGCATTTTCCGAGGTGATTTCTTCCCCACCACATTCAATTATGATCACTGAGGCAGCATTCCTCTGTCCAGGCAGACAGTCCTCTTTAATTTGTACTTCACTCCTTGATTGTCACTCATTGCAATGATCAAAACCTGCAGAAAGACAGCAAATGTGCATCATGTGCTCTTTTACCTCACAATGAACAATGGCCATCTCATAAGTAATGGCACTGGTACAGAGAGAAGCTTCTGAATGTGAAGACGGCAGAAGGAGGAGAGAGAGAAAAATAACCATTATCCAAAAACATGCTCTGTCACGTCAGAAACTCTGTTTTCTCCAGCCAAATCCCCTGCTGCCTTGCTCAGAAAATATTCAGGCTTTGTAATAGAGATGTGGATGGCAGATAGGGAAGATGTTACGGATTTATACAAGACTGCAGGAGTGAGAGAAAAATTCTGACATTTATGAGAGAGAAGTAATGCATTCTCGGCTTACCACCCAGGAACACAGGTAACAACACCAGGCTCTCTGTATCTACAAGCCAGAGCTCAATTACAGACTGAACCTGTTAAGACTATCTTATGTTGCCCTCTACTGACCAGTAGGCTAAATCAGTGCAAATCTTTGGAGAAAATAGTTCACTTTTCCCAATGTAAAACCACCTCATATTTTTTGTCAGTACTGGGTTGAACTAGGCTTTCATGTCACATGTTTCAACATGTAGCCTACACTATTAAAAAAAAAAAGCTATGGAAATTTAACACAATGAATATGTTTGGCAAAACATTGACATGAGCACAAATATGTTGTTTTTACATTAAAGCGGAATTCAAAAATGCACTGTAGTCTAATGACATACATTTTTTTTTTTTTTTTTAAATCAACATTAGTTGTAAATCACAGAAACCATTTTAACATTTTGGCTGACTTATTAAAGTGCTGAAAATAGGCTATATATGCTTGCAAAACATTATTCTGCATTCATAGACACCACGAGATGGCAGTAGAGTACTTAAAATGGCAGTAGGCTACGTGTGCAAAAAAGCACAGATTTTTTTCACTAATAATGACACTTTTATTTTTATTTTCAGCCAAGGTTAGATAACCGCGCTCAACTGTGGCGTTGCAAGGCCTGTAGTGAAGTAATGTTGGTACCATGTTTTTCTACGTATCTTTTTCGTCAGCGAGGAACGTGTACATGTGTATCCAGTTCATATATCAATATACTGTATGTCGGTTCATGTCATTTTCAGCCAATATGGGAACTTTTACCTTTCTAAACAATGTGGTGATCCTCATGGTGTCTCGCTCCAGTGCATGTTTCTCTACAGATCACGCTGCATGCCGTCCACACTCTTATGCGCATTTCTAGAATTCTAATCCCAATTTTATAGCACTATAATGGAAAAAGAAGCCACAAGCGGTACTCAAATTAAAAGACACCTTCTAAAAAAACTCAACTCTAGGCCTTGCTTTTCCTCTCATTTCACTGCCCTGTCTCTTGCGTTTCTATCGCAAACACGGGTTCTGCTTGAACGCTACCCTAAAAGGCTGGTCATTTTTTATGAGCAATGTTGGCACTTTCCCATTGAGAATGGGTAACAAATTTCTATCTGGATCATTTAGATCGGTCGTGGGCCCTGTGTTTCTCGCCTGGTTGCCCGTTGACGGCAACATTGCTCAAAAAGTTGCCCCGTGTATCCAGGGTCGTACTAGCAAGTAGCCTACAACAAGAACTATGGTACATGGCCTTCAGATATTCAAAAGATGGCATAGATTACATCATTAAGAGTCTGATGAACTGTTAAGGAGTAAGAAATAAACAATATCAATATAAGAAAATGTTAAGTTAGATTGACTTTCCATGGCATATTGAATTAGAACATTCTGTCAAACTATAGCCTTGAGTGCCTAAATAATGTAAAATACATATAGGCCTATATATCCTATGTAAACAAGTAATTGTTCACTATGATGTTACTTTATTGCACCAACTTTGCATAGATGATAGCACAAAAGACCATTTCACAAAAATAAATATATACGCAAACAAACAAATAAATAAACCTTATGAGTGAGCATGACCCAGGACTCTACTAAAACAGTTCACACTTCAACCCCCCCAATGTTCAAACCAAAACTACGCCCTTGCGTGTATCATCAGCCTAACATTCCCACAGCTGCGACAAGTTGAGAGTTGTTCGGTCCGATGCTGGAAGAGTCTAAAGACCTCTGAAAAATTGTATTGTAAAGCATGTCCTAAAACATCCATGTTTGTAAGATTTTGTATAGGCTATTTAATTAAGGTCAAAGTTTAATGTTACAATCTTATAATCTAGGACAATCTAGCACAAAAATGTATAAGCCTAAACGTTTTTGTTTTTGATTAATGTAGGCTATGTGTACATTCATTAATGTATTTTTTTTTTCTAAGATGAAGGAATATAATCATAGGAACTTTTTTTAGTATACTGACAATGCATATTTATTTAAGATCCAAATGGTTTGGCTGCAGGAGCTTCTTCTGAACCATTTGGCTTAAAAACTCTGATAGTGTTGTATGACTGGTGTGAATGTACTTTAGTTACTAAAAGTATTTAATAAATATATATTTTATGCATCTCTAAAAACAGTCTAGACAGTCTGGTGTTTAAATGAACACAACAAGGACTGATTAAAAAGAAAAAGACTTTATTTCACTGCTAGAATCACAGGTAGGCTATACCAGTGAAGACAAACATTTGTCAAAACAATAAATAGTCAAGTTAAAAGTATACGTCATTGAAAACATGACAAAAGTAATAGTAACTGGGGGCAAACACAAGTGATAACCCGATGCTCATGCCACACCATATGTCCCATTAGGTCCTTCTGGGAGGTCATTTCTCCATTGGAGCAGTGACTAAGTAAAATGGAAAAGCACACCATTGTAAGAGTTCAGCTCCATGGTCTCCATATGGACTGGGTTGGAAGAGAAAAAGGTTCCTGTCTAAGAGCCAGTACAGGAGACTGCGGTGGGGTAAAATCTCTAGCCATGTTGGGCAGAATAGGCTGAGGCACAATGACAGGCCTATGGAGTGAAAGTGGTGTTGAAAGAGGTGACAGTGAATCAGAAGGAGCAGGTAGAGGACAAGGCATGAATAGATATGGAGGGCAGTTACTGGGAGAGGAGAATAAGCTGGTAAAAGTGGGAGATGATGGCGGGGAACTACATTGTGATGATGATGATGATGATGATGAACTGGGGGGAGAAGTCGACTGATGCAAAAGTTTGGAGCCATCCAAAGATGATTCAGGGTGTAAGAGAAGATCCTGCTGGTAGTTCTGGCCTGATGGTGATAGAGGGAAGCCCGTCTGGGCCACTGGTTCATTTCCTGCTTTGGAAGCACCAGTTAGGTTATTATTGTTGACCCCCAGTTTCAGAAGAGCTTCCTTCTGCTCAGATGATTTAAACCTGCCATAGAAGTCTGGTACATAGAAGTCACTGGCGTAGATGGGGCCCGTAGAAACAGACTGCTTCTGAGTGGCCTTAGAATCCATTTGATTAGAAGTCACTGCAGAAAGATAGAAAAACATTACATAAATTAGGCAAATTGTTACTAATAAATAATAGCTTTTAATAGTAAATTCAGATGGATGAAGTAAAAAGTAAAAGCAGTAAAAACAAACCCTTTGTCTCAGTTTTTCTTGTGGTCTTTTTGATGTACTGAACTGCAAGGTCTAAAATCTCTGCTTTTTCCAGTTTTGGATTTTGTAAACGCTGTGGAAGGAGAGAGGAAAGTCCAGAGGTCTTTTAGGGGGTTGTCAAGGAAGTAGTGCAGAAATAATGCGAAGTAATGCATCATAAATCGAGGGAAGGTAGGCTACTCACCGTGTCTGCAGTGTTCTTGAAAAGCAGATCTCTTAACGCATCTAGGTTATGGTTGATTCGGTCTCTTCTCTTCTTCTCTATCACAGGCTTTAACTTCTTTAAACAAAAGTTAAAAATTTAAACTGTTAGTAATTTTACGTTTCCAATGTTATCATAACATTTAATATTTAACTATTGCGTGGAATCAAATAAACATAAATTAGGCTAAATATAAAGTATTTCAGAAATAATTTTTGGGAAAGAAAAAGTTGCTTTTAAAGAACTTACTCTTTTGACGCCTTCTGTCTTCGTCATGTTGAGAGTTGATCAGTTCGCTCTTCGCTTAAATTCGTAGATGTGGGAAACTGCTGGAATCGAGCCAAACGGGAATTTTAAGCCTCTGGCGTGGCATCTGATTGGCGGAGAGGTGGCAGTGACGTAGGCACTGTGAACTTTCCACCCAGCATTCTATTGCCTTAACCAAACAATCAATAAACAGACGTGTTACTTATGACATCTAAGGACAAGCAAAACAGAAACAAATATATATAATATTTAAATATATAATGTTTAAAACAGTCATCAAAAATAGATTGAAGCTTTATTTTTAAGCATATTAAACATTTGATGGCGCAACTGGTTCTTGGGAAAAAAGTTTGCCATTTGATTGTATGCTGCAATAGGCCTATGCAAATATCAGCAAACGGTTTTGAATAAACAGCTGAGGACAATGCTTGAGGTGAACTGCTAAAACACATATGGGCACAAATGGCATCTGTCCTGACATTTTGGTGAATAAAAGTAGCATAACAATTTGGTCAGTAGCCTACACTAAAATTGAAAAGTAAGATGAATCGTACAATCAAAGTGATGCCACAGTGACAATCTGCATTGGTAAAAGCATCGCACTTTTTTAAAAAACATTTTAAATTAAATTACAGATTTAACACTGAGCTGAAGCTCTTAATTAGCCTACATAAATTGCATATTTATTGTGACAATAATGAGTGAAAACAAATATCCTATATCATAATGATAAAAAAAATGTAGGCATATAAATTCCGTTTAATGTGGAGGCCATGGAAACAGTTTTATTTCTATACGAATATGCTTACTTTAAAAATAGAGAAAATATGATGCATTTTGAGCCCGGTCTCATGAAAATGCGTATAAATAGTAGCCTACGCCAAATAAAAACGAAAACTCGTGGTGTTGATACGCAAAAATGGACTTTGGCGTGCATATGATACGCATGTGTTTGGCGTGCATATAATACGCAGTTTTCGCGTGCATATGATACGAAATTTGTTGGCGTGCATATGATACGCATGTGTTTGGCGTGCATATAATACGCAGTTTTCGCGTGCATATGATACGAAATTTGTTGGCGTGCATATGATACGCATGTGTTTGGCGTGCATATAATACGCAGTTTTCGCGTGCATATGATACGAAATTTGTTGGCGTGCATATGATACGCATGTGTTTGGCGTGCATATAATACGCAGTTTTCGCGTGCATATGATACGAAATTTGTTGGCGTGCATATGATACGCATGTGTTTGGCGTGCATATAATACGCAGTTTTCGCGTGCATATGATACGAAATTTGTTGGCGTGCATATGATACGCATGTGTTTGGCGTGCATATAATACGCAGTTTTCGCGTGCATATGATACGAAATTTGTTGGCGTGCATATGATACGCATGTGTTTGGCGTGCATATAATACGCAGTTTTCGCGTGCATATGATACGAAATTTGTTGGCGTGCATATGATACGCATGTGTTTGGCGTGCATATAATACGCAGTTTTCGCGTGCATATGATACGAAATTTGTTGGCGTGCATATGATACGCAGTTTTCGCGTACATATAATACGCCCACAACCCTAAACCTACCCATCGCGTAGCATATACACGCCAAAGTCCATTTTTGCGTATCAGTACCACGAGTTTTCGTTTTTATTTGGCGTACTATTTATACGCACTTTCATGAGATCGGGTTGGCATTTTTGGAGTCGCGCGCCAAGTGAGATTAGCTCGTGTCCGTCAGTGAAAAGTACACGCGCATCCTGCTTTATGGTGAAAAGGGGGGGTTAAGAGGTGTGATGCCCAGGCTTTTAGAGCAAATCTGTTAAGTGTGCTGTAAGGTAGTGTTTTGATAGAAGTGTGAGCGATTAGGCCAAACATTATTGTCCCACGCTTACACTTGTAAATTGTTGGAATGATCAAGTGGATCCTCAGGGATTAAGCAAAGCAAAACTTTTCGGGTGAGATTTGAAACTTTTTGAAACTGATTATTGTTTGTTTGTTTGTTTTTAATAAGTTTTGTAAGTTTTTTTTAAAGCTTCCATGTCCATTTTCTTTGATAAAAAGCCGTTTCCAAATGAAATTAGCTGTAGGCTGTAGCCCTCGTTCCTTAGGCAGGAAAATTATTTGCGAACACACGAGAAGACACCACACACATCAAAAGACCACTTTCAATTGAAGCCACACTTCAGTGACTCAACCAAATCAAACACGTCCTCGACGCTTCAGTGTGTAGGGGGAAGACTGTGATCCGACCTGATAGCCTACTCTAATGAAAAAGCAGTGATAGTAAACTAGTTGAAAGAAGTAAAATACCTTAGGCTACTTCATTTTTATTGTGAGATTGAATTTACAAGATGGATGGACTGTGCAAGTCAATATTTAGCCTATGAAAGCACCTTATCCTGGATTAAATATTCTCACATAGCATTGTTAAATACACAACCTGCAGAAACAGTAATAGCCTACTGTGCAGTGTTATAACTGTCCAAATGGCTAAGTGCACTTTATTGTCTATCGATAATCATAACGATTTGAAATCACAGCAGGTAATATGCCTAATCGCCTTTCAGTGGTTCTTTTAAATAGGCCTTATAACGCATGTGAATGGTTCAACCCTTCTTTATAATCTTTGGCAATACCTTAACTGAATAGCGATCGTTTAAACATCCCAGTGGGGGGCTAAATGGGTAATTATTGGCTCTTACTTCACAATTGACATTATTTACAGACATTGTCTCTTTCGTCCAGCTTGTTTGTGAATATTAATGAGGGGCTAGCTCACGGACGCCTGTGATTGGTTCGTCTACTTTTATTATTCATAATGAGAAGATTAGGCGTGTACTGACCGTACCATAAATGAACTGAACTCCAAAACGATGCTTATAATCTCACTTCAGAGGGATTTCGTTAATCGCCAAAATGAGTAAACAAGCTGCTGACATACCAGAACAAAAAGACTCGAGACGGGTAAAAAACAAACTTTGTTTCACAATGTATTTTCAGACATATGAAATATAATTATAATTCACATAGCCTATAAGCCTTAAATATTGGGCTATTCTGTGTTATTTTGTGGCAATGTGACAAAACGTGATATGAAGATTTGTTACTTATCATGTTAATAAGGCTTTTCAGAATGATATTTTACCATAATATTTCAACTACACTATTTTTAATGTTACAGGTCTCAAAACCTCTCATGGAGAAAGGAAGGAGAGATCGCATTAATCAAAGCCTAGAAACTCTGAGGATGCTATTACTTGAGAATACACACGATGAGGTAAATTAGATTTCTAAATAAAGACTCTAACTTAATGTAGCCCGTAAAAGATGTCTTTATCTGTCCACATTTTTTTCTTCTTTTTAATAGAAACTCAAGAACCCTAAAGTCGAAAAGGCTGAAATCCTGGAAAGTGTTGTGCACTTCTTAAGAGCTGAACAAGGACTGTGGACTGACCCTTTTAAAATCACCAGAGGAAAAAGAGCACGCACAGAGGAGTCTGATGAGGACCTAAGTTCACCTAGCAAATGTCAGAGCTACCATGATGGAATGAGGACATGTCTGATACGACTCAGCAATTTTATTGCTAGCAAGAGCCATGAGTTTGGACAGGGAGTGGAGAAAGCATTTGGAAACCTTCACAAATCACACTCAATGCAAGCCCAGCTACTGTCCACACCATCCCGCAGAGAAACTCAGGTGCATCTCAATGAGGACTCATCACTGCCAGCACAGCAGCATCTCACTCATGTCCAACTGAGCAATTCCTGCACACCATCTGGCTGTGCGAAGCTTGCACAAAGAACTGTTCTGTCTGCTCCCACCATGACGTCAAGTCCTAAGCAACCTGCAATGCTCTGTGACGCTGTCTGGAGGCCTTGGTAGAAGATCACGTCCAAAGTCCCTGCAAAGCTCTCTAAAGACTGAAAAGGCCAGGTCTACAGTGATTAATGATTCTGCAGTGTTGGAGCAGCACTGGGTCAATAGACTGTGAATTGTGTAAATATGTGGATTTTGTACAGTAGATGCCAAAGATTTATTTTGATATAAAAAGGCATTGAGAAATCTGTGCCTGTATAGTGTGTTTGGTGATCTTACAGCCGAACAAACAAGATACACATTTGTGTTGAGATGACTATATTTCTTAGTTAGAACTTTGATGCTTTTATATCAACAGAATTTTCTTTCAAGACTTTTACAAAATCAATTTTTGATGGAGAATCATGTACTTAACCCCTATGGAATAAAATCGCTGTCAAAAATAATCGTACGTAATTCAAAGCATTTGTGTGTCATTTTAATTTACTCGTGCGTAATTTAAAAGTATTGTATGTAATTCTGTTTTTTGTCAGAATTGGATTCCACAGGGTGAACATTTCAATGGTTTTGTTCTTATTTTTTTAACTTGAGTGCCAAGAAAAATTTCAGAGCACAAGTTCATGTCATTTTTTATTTTTCTCTTTGCGGTAATTGCCAGATATTTGTGTTCTTCTAAAACATTGAAAAATTTTCATTTCATTCAAGAGATTCTGTTTTCGTCGAAACAAAATAACAAGGCTTTGTATTTGCTGTTATTTTTCATGTCAGCAAAACGTGAAATGTTACTTTGAACAAAGAATTAAACCTCTCTAAGGATATATTCTTTTATCTTTGGCCTATTTGCATGTCCATTAATTCATTTCCTGAGAGATATTCAGCATGAACGGCATTGTTCTTCAGACACGGTGTGAATGTTCAGCGTTCCAACGTGATAACGGTAGATAACTCGATAACAGGCCTGACATTTGCAGATTTTCATTGGGCAATTATTTGGTCATCTCGGTAATGTTGCACTTAATCTATGGAAGATATAATGCATTGAGGTGCAGATTGCTTAGGTGTGGTCTAAACGGGCCTTTGTCAGAGCAAATGTTGTTTGATTTATCAGAACATGATGTTGGAATTTGATAGTAGGGCCTACTTTGCCTATTTATATATAGGCCTCAATATTCTGTAGGCCTATGTAGATACCCGATCCAATATGGTAGCCTATATGATGACAAAAAGTTCAAGTCACAGACCCATAATATAACCAGGGCCGGATTTACGCATAGGCATTTTAGGCACGTGCCTATGCTTGCTCGTCCAGGGGGGCCCAAACACAATGAAGAGATATATATATTATTTTTGTTATACTATGGGATATCTACAACAGTAAAAGAACCAAAACCCCAGAAGACATTGAGCGAATAAATATAACAAACAATAGGGTAAAAAATGACAAACAATTTACATGTCTTCAACCTTTTTTATATACGGAAATCACACTTTCTTTCTCCCGTTCTCTCTCACACACGCACACACATAGACTCGCACTCGCGCACACACGCGGAGACGCTGACAGAAACGTGTCAGAGCTCGGCTGACCCGCAAATTTATCAATAAAAGAGTTTCGCAGCTGAAAAGCTACATGACATTTCTCAGTAGCGAGGTTCTTGAAGCAGTTCAACTTAAAAATTCGCTATTAGTAGACGCTGCTGCTGAACACTGCTGAGAGACACACAGAGCAAGAATTCACATGCACTCAATCTCTCCCTCTCTCTTTTGCTCTCTCTCTCTCTAATAACTGCGTTAGACTGCATTAATAACTACGTTAGCCTGCATATCAATGGCTCAAGCATCTGTTATTAGCTCTAAAATGACGTTTTGGAATTTGCAACGGAAGGTTTGGGATGAGGAGCGTAAAAAATTAGCTAGTTCAACACCCACGAGATTTCAGGACGGAAACATGTCAAATGTCTTGAAACAAATCATCTGAACAATTGATGTGTGATTGTGACTCCAGGCCGTTAAAATAATATAACGGACAGTTTTAGCAACAATAAAACTGTCGCAGATATTTAAGTAAATGAAGTAAATAAAGAAAAGTTATTTCAAGTACTTTTTTACTTGCAACAGATCAAATGAAATATTTTATTTCATTTTAAACAGCTATCCCACCCCTCTCCTGCATCTGATTTTATAGCTTGATTTGGTTACAAAAAGTTTTGTTCTTGTCTGTATGGATGTAACAGCTATCTCAAGCCCACCATAAGTGAGAGTTCAGCATGAAATACAATTAAAACATTTTTTTTTTTAAACTCTGGATAAATTAATAAAACCAAAAGTTTGATCTCAATTATCCTATCAGTATATAATCTGTGTGCCCAAATGTTTTGGAAAATTCGACTGAACGCGATAAACGATTTGTGATTTAATCATGAGGTCGTTTTTCAATAGCCTATAATTTATTTTAGGCTTTAACATAGTAAAAGTTAGGCCAAGTCTACTACTTTAACGACTTCGTTATCTACATGACAAACCCTACAATCTAAAGTATTTAAAGACTAAAAGTTGTCATAAAACCATGACTGGAAAGTAGATTTAGGCTACCACTAGATATAATGGCTTAGTTGTACTTAACGCTCATACTCTCCCCTAAATCAACCTTCATGCGCAGCTTTGTTTCGCTTTGTCGCTTTGGATAAGCTCTTAGATAAACGAGTTTTAGCTGAAATGAGATTAGACCTTTGAATGATGCCATGCACCGGCTGATGCCTGAACCCGTTATTACAGACAGATAAGTCTCCCAAATGCCATTCAACACAAAGAGTGTAAATAGATTATCCAGACCGGATGTGTGCTTTTGTCTGTTCTGATCAACAAAGACCAATGCACGCAGCCAAGTATATCAAACGTACAATTATAAAATGTAAAATGTAATGTAAAGTAGTCCTATGAATTATTCTTTGACTATTGAATGTTGTGCTACCATTAGTTCTTAATTAGGTTTAGCAAACGATTTTTTAAATCCATAGAAATTAATTTAGACCTCAGAAGTTAGCAGGCCTTGCTGTCTAACTGTAAAGTTGTTTAACCGTAAAACTATTTCTTAGACACTATAGCCTATTTAGTTTTGTGTTTTCATTTCTTTTTGTCACTTATTAATTTCATCACGTCTAAATTATTTTTTTACTTTTTAGCCTACAAATAGGCTATTTTAATTGGATTTCAAAACTTACTTTCAGTTTAATATATTTTATATTGACATCCCGCTATCCCGGATAACCCCCACCCCTCCCCCCATAACAAAAACTTGCAAGTACTGTCTAACTTGTCTAACTTGTTGTAGAATTTATAATAAATAATCTGTTAAGGGAATATTTCCCCTAGATATTTATATTACAACTGTGGCATGTTGTAGCTATTGGTTCTAAATGTGAAGGCGATTGTTTCTTCATAACAAATGCTATATTGATTAATTTAAAAAAGTCATTATTGGCCTGGTAATGATTAATAGGCTAGTCTTATTATTTATAACAAATGGTATACAGTTAGGAAACTATGGTACATGGCCTTCAGATATTCCAAGAGATGGCATAGATTAAATCATTAAGAGCCCGATGAACTGTTAAGGAGTGAGAAATAAACAATATCAATATAAGAAAATGTTAAGATTGACTTCCCATGGCATGTTGATTTAGAACAGTAACTACAGCCTATAAGTGCCTAAATAATATAAAATACATTATAGGCCTATATATATATATGGACCTGTTGTCAGATGTTGCCAAAATACGCACGAACGTTAGGTGCTGACTTTCTCTCTAAATGTCACCTAACTCATGGGAACAACGTTTATAGCAAAGCCATCGTCACACTTTACTAGTACAACATGTGTTCCTTCTGGCCATTTGGCAAAGAACTGTAAAATTAAACCGACGCGTGTCCTGACCTGGTTATGAAAACAAACGCACAGTGCAGAAGACGCGTGTTTAGGTGACGATCGAGACGCGCACGCGTTTTGCTGTAATACACGTGAAATCACGGTCACACTCTACTTCAAACAACAGTTCAAGTGAAAAACAGTGTCTATTTGTTTTCAACAATCATTACATTTAATATTGCCATTATATGTAGCCTACATGTCGGCGGCTTGTGGCATCTCAAAGCCTGGAATGATAAAGCTTCATTCCCACTTTACCGTGCATAATTCACCCTAGGCCTACTCAGTCCAGAAGGTCTACCTACTTCAAAAAGGCGAATAATACCTCTGTTTAATTAGCTTTGCATATTATTGTTTCGATAAATAGCTAATCCCTTTAGGAGCTTTACGCCACAGTTTACGATTTGGATTTAACGCGGGTGTGCAACCTGCTTTTAAAGCGTATACAGCTCCCTTACAAGTAGCGCCGTTCTTCTAATGCCTTTTATTCATGTGCGTTAATCCCCGGCGGGTGGGAAATGAAGGGGGACAGGTCCCCCTCCGCGGGATATTAATTGGAGGTATTCTTATTTAAATATTTGAATTAAAAATTAAATAGTTAATGCTGTTTGGTGAGTGTTACAACACAGTGGGTAATACAACCACTGAGAGTGTTGAAAACTTGACATCAATCACTTTTTTTTCTTAAAGGTGCAGTAGGAGATCTTGGAAAATGCTAACTTTAGCCCGATAGCACTGAAAGCGAACGTCCCACCCTCCCTGCAATTGCCGTCCAAAGCCACGCCCCCTGAACGCATTTACGCTCACAGATTAATGATTGCTATCGGGATGTGAAGAGACTTTCAACCAGCATAACAAAAAATGTTTCTAAAGACAATCAGCTATTGCACCTTTAAAGGGGTCTTTAAATGGGGTCTGATGCTTTTTTAAAGATCATTATTTTGTGTATTTGGTGTAACAGAATATGTTGACATGCTGCAGGCTGGACAGAACTTCCCGATGCTGCTCAGACTTCCTCTCCATCTCCTTCAGTAAAGTTTCATAGCGCTGACTGAGATGAAGAAGAGATCAGTTAGGGGTTTGCCTATGTGAACTACACACTCAAATACAACAGAATCAAATGCAATACATACATTTCACCATTGATGTATTCCAATCTCTTGCTCACTGTTGCTTTGGCTTCATCCAGATCTTGTTTGACCAAAACTGGTCCAATTAGTTTGTAAACTGTATTTTGGATATCCAACAATGCAAGCTCCTACAGAGGGATGACATGTGGTAAAACATGATCAACATAAATAAATGAATGTGTATATATTGTAGCATGACAAAAATGAACATGCAAATGTGGAAGATACCCTGTAATTATGTTCTTACCTCCTTAACAATATTATTTTCAGTCAATTGTGCCTCCAGTTTCTGTCTTGCTGACATACTTTTACTGACATCTGCGAAAAATAAAACGAGTTAACAGTTTCTACGTTCACAAAAAAGAAATTACAGAAAATAATTGTATTATGCGCATACAAATACAACAGCAACCCAATCCTATTTAAAATGTACATTACATTAATCTAACGTTTCTACAAGAATAAGATAAAAACACTTAGGAAAAGGTGACTGTATTAAGAAAGCGGATCACTATGACAGCTCTGGACAGGTGTTGACTAACAAGCTAAATCAGTCCATCTTGAGAGCCTGATTTGTGACAGCAGGCACTTCTTTGTGCATTGTAGTCAAATATATAAAATATGAGCAAAATGAATGTCAATATGCACATGCAGAGAGTGTTGGAAGGCCTGCTATAATGGATAGCTGTCTAGCTAGCGTTGTGATGGCATACCTTTTTGCAGTTGTTGATATTTCTCCAACTCTGACTGTAATTTCTTCTGAATCGCTTCAGCCATCACAACAGCTATTCTAATTACTGATCCCTTTATATGTTTCTAAATACCAACAAACAGAGGTATCTTATAACAAAAGCAGTAAGCCAGCACACGGATCATGCACACAGTCTGGGGCGCACGGGAAATGACGCAATGCTCACGTGGGGGTTTTGACAGTCGATAAAAAGAGTCACTTCGCCATCTAGTGTTGAAAATGAAGCCCAACAATACAAATGTTCATTGGTTTTCACTGACGCGACTTCAAATAAACACTGTGAAATGGGCAATAATAAAATATATATATATATTTTATATTATATTTAAATGTTATGTAGCTTTCAATATAAGTAATTTTCATTATAAATACTATATTCCTCCTGTATGTATAGGCGTAATCCTCCTCCTGTCCATATGGGGGCAGTCTATCTGGTTTCACTAAACCGTCTGAAGTGACAGTAAAGGCAATATGGCAGCGCGCATGGTTCAAATACTAACGTGAAGGTCTTTTTTCGGGTGTAAGTGGACACATATTATCCCACTAGCAGGTAATGTAAATGATATCTTTGCTTATATCATAATCAAATGTATCTTCTGTTTTAAAAATGTACCTGAAGCTGCTTATTAACCATCTCTAGATAAAATGCTGTCATGTGCTATAAGCATGTAATGATGTATTATCATTTTTAAGCAATGTTATTGTTGTCATTACCATTATCTCTACATTTTCTTCAAAAAGTGTTTTATTTCATTGTTTAGTAAACGGTGGGAAACTACAAAATACAGCAATACTTAAATTGTACAGTTTTGTAATGACAGTCAGTCATTTAAATTGAGGTTCTTTGTTTTCCATTATTTACTAATGTGCTTATTATGCTTGCATATACTAAATAATATGTTAGTTAAATGTGTATTATGCGATGTTAAATGCTTCCTTTTATAGAGTTTTGACATACAGCATCCTTCAAAGGGCAAACTGGAATTTAAACAGCTCTGGTCATGTAAAAACTTTCAGATGAAACTGTCCATTTTCATTTATAGTCGAAAACTCTGTTTGAAAAGCACTCCTTTTGGAGCATCCAGACTCAAAAGTAAATTTTGGTCACAAATGTTATTAGTTTGATTAATTAGACTATTGTTTTCAAATCAACTGGATATATGTAGCTGTGTTACATGTTGCTTAACTCAGTACCATTATATTGCAGTTTATTATTATTATTATTATTATGCTTTTTACTATTGTTGTTGTTATCCAGGCAAAGCTGCAGGTTGGATGTGTTTTTGATATGCTACAGTTTGTTAGTGTGTCGTAGTATTGTAATGTTACTCAGAAATACATAAATCTAAAAAAGGCAGGTTCTTATGAAGATATCATCTGGGGTTAATCAGACAGATTGTTTTGTGCAGGAGTGAAAGTATAATGGTTAAGGGTCTGAATATTTGTCTGTAAAATATGTTGCCTGAAGTTTATCTAGGCCCCTGATGATTTCAAGTCTGATCTCAGCAGTTTGTGTGGCACATTTCAGAGCTGGTTGTTGTAAAAGACTGATTTTTAACACAATAGCACACCTGCAAGCCTGTTTTGTGAGAGAGCCAGAGAAACTGCTCAGTGCTGTTGCTCATTTAACATGCACAGAGAGCTATTTCATGAAGGTGCGGCAGAAAACAGATTGCTTTATTCTGAGAGAGGATGGAATGGAATTTGGTTACTATTTTATGCAAACTAACACTATAAAGTTGACCTTGGGGGAAAAATACATAATGATACATTTTCAGAGTGAAGTAAAAACTAAGATACTAAGCAGATACCTGACCTAAAATACACTCTCTGAATTTATCACTAATTAAACCATAATATTCACACATTTTTATATTTGTTGACTGAAACTAGTGCTCATAAGTGTTTTAATGATGTTATATTTGACATACTTCGATGTCATTTGAGTATTCCCACCTTTTTCTAGTTTGCTGTTGTAAATTAGGAGGCAGTTTAGCTCTTTGCTGAGGTTATCACAAATTGCAATCTGCGGTCTTGTCAAAATCAATATGCACCTGGAGGGCATCAGAGGAATTGAGCTGAATTCTGAAACAGCAGCCTGCTTGCTGAACTGCGACTTACGTTGCACCATTGTTTGTTATTTGAGGAGGACAGAATCTCAGTTTTGTGTCTATATGTTGCTTAATTTAGTTGCGTTTAGTGAGCAAATGTTTTCATTTACTGTTGTACACAACATTGAAAGCAGGAAGGCCAATTTTCTCATATCTTCCCATTTCGTGCAAAATGCAAGCTGGTAGAAGGAATTAAATAATTTTACCAGTCATTTCTGCTATGCATAAAATGTTTTATGTACTTTCCTCCTCATTTATTTTCCAGCTTTTGTCTACTTTGCGAAAACCACAATTGCTTGTTCAGCAGTATTTTAAATGGGCTATTCTTGCCTCAACAAACATGTTTTCCCATGTCTGCAAGTTCAATTTGTCTCAAACCAAAAACAGATATATCAAGAGAACGAGAATCCAAATGAACTGGCTGGCTTTCAAAAGTCGGGCTGTAAATCTATATATGTAAATGTGAAGCTGCAGAGGGAATGGTTTTGAGGTTCTTAAATCACTTCATAAAGAGAGTCCTGTCTCTCTTTGTCATCTTAAATCAGGAATGATGTAGCCCTGCTAATGCCATTGACTCCCTTGAGTGTTTCATTTTCCTGAAACCTGGTTTTATCCCTTTGAACTGAAGTTTGACAGAACAGAACAGCTTTAGGTTTTTCTTGTATTACTGCTTTCTCTGAATTTGCATTAAGATATTAATTCACTTACTGAGTCTAGGGATTTTTAACATCCAAGTATTTTTTCTTTTTTTTGGCCAATGGACAAAATGCTCAACAAAATAAATAAATAAACCTGAGCCACATTCATTTATTGCTAATGGTATATTGCCCTATTTTCCCAATGCAATTTAAAATCCCAGAGCTTGGCATTTCCTTTTTATCATTGTTACGGTCAAGATACTTCAGTGTGAAACATTGCAACAATTCATTTTCAGGAACCAATTGTTTGTACACCGACCTAATTATTCTCTGTTCAAACAATGTAGAAGAAAATCACATTGACTAAAGATTCATTTGTAGCAAACAAACAGATACGGATGGACCATGCATTGATGGTTTCAGTGTTTCCAGGACATTAAATGAGCCTAAAATCTGATATTGTAGACAAATCAAAGCATTATTTTCACAGGGTAAAATGTTGGGTCATGCAGTAGCTATATTTTCAAGTCCCCAATATTAAGCAGCACAACTGTTTGCAACATTGATGATAATAAGAAATGTTTCTTGAGCAGCAAATCAGCATATTAGAATGATTTATGAAGGATCACGTAACCCTAAATAATGGCTGATGAAAATTTAGCTTTGTTATCAAAGGAATTTTAAAATATGTTCAAAACAGTTAATTTTGATCAAATAAATGCAACCTTGGTGAGCATAAGATAGTTCTTTCATTAAAATCGAAATCTTATCAACCATAAGCTAGTGTATTCATGCTGTTTCTTATTTCCTAATCATAATACTTCAAACAAAACACGTTTTTTTTCCTGAGAATATCAAATATTTTTCTCAAGCAATTTAATCTAATTTGGAAAGCCGAAGAGTGCTTCAAAGCAGGAAACCCAGCAAGCACAGTGAAGTTTGACAGAACATGCCTGCAGTCCATAGTCACTCATCCTCATATTTTTTCTTTCATCGTGTATTTTATATCCCCATCACGTCAACAGAGTTGCTTTAAATGGAAAATAAATTTCATGCATGTTATTGTCGGCACCAAGTAAACCATCCCTCAAAAAAATTTAATTGGTGCCAAACACAATGTTCCGAATAAATTGCTTCAATTCAGCTCACAGGATTGTTGATTGTCCTCTTCTGCTTCTGAATATGTTAAAACGGTTGGACCTCCTGCCAAGAAGTGGAGGTTTACCAGCAGCCCAACCTTCCCTGACTGCCTCTTAAATTGATTTGAGCTTCAACATGCTTTTTAAAACAGCAAAAATATGTTTGGAGAACAGCATGAAATAGAACGGTGAAATGAAGGACAGCATGTGATTGGCATTTTAAAGAAAACCCTGAGAGTAATTTTAACGCCTATATACGCTGTTTCTGCTCTCCACAGATAGCCTGTGTATTCTAAGATCCAAGACGTTTCGGTGCTTGCGAAAAGCTCTCTTTGCTTGTCTCCTTGCGCGCACAGATGTGAGGATTAACTTGGCATTAAAACCAATGGCGCGTTCCAACGTGTGGCTAGCGAGGTGTGTTTATTTCACCTCTGTCCTCATCTCCCTTGCATTTATGAATATATAAATAGTCAGGTTAACTTGGGAACAGAGCGCTGTGAATAATTTTGAGATATTGTTTTCATCTGGGTTGAACAAGTTCTCCTGTCATATGTGTAATTAGCCAGGCTGCGATCGGCTGAATGACGTTGAACACGTTGCCGTTGGTGTATATCAGATTATGGGGTGTGGTTTTTATGACTCATGCTTCCCTGAGCGCATATGTTTCAGGCCATTTCCACCACTCAACTAATTGATTGAATCATGTAATTGAATTCGGTCTTCAATGGAAAAACCAGGTACTACTCTTTCGCCCTTGCGTGTGACGCTAATTCTGTGCGTGTTTTGGTGCTTGGTGGCTGCTGTCCAATCTGCTCCATCGACCTTTCCTGATCTAGACCCATAGAGCGCTAGCTAACCGTAATGGATCAGCAGAGTGCAGGGAATCATTGAAGGCAGCCAAGCACAGAAGCTCCTCGAGTGCGTGACGCACCTGTGCTTTTATCCCTTATCTCTGAAGGGCCTGAGGTTTCATAGCACTTCGCCTCGCGACTGTCTTCACTTACAGCGTCTCGAGATAAGGCCACTGTGCACTCCTGGGAGAGCTTTTATGGATTGGAGACCTTTTCACTTTTCAACCTCTGGACAAGACTTGATTTTTTTGTTGTGTTGAATTTGTAATGAATTAAGGAGACCTCTATAATTACCTTTCCCAACAGGCAAAGCGGACGGACAGACGTGTGGCAGGCCAGACACATAGACAATGTCTAAGATATCTAAAGCAGCCAAGGCGGTGAAAAAGTTGGATACTGGAGGTGTGATCAG